CTGACGAAAATGAATATAATTTTCGTCACATTTTAGTCTTTACAGAGCTTTGGTGACGTTCGTCTTAGTCTCATTTTCGTCAAGGAAAAAAGGGGTCTGACGTCGTCATTTAAGTTTTCGTCCTGCCTGACGAAAACAACACTGCACTGAGCAAAAGACATATATTAGACGTTTAGTATAAATTTATACTTCATTTCAACGTCAGGATTCAGTCTATTTTTAGACGTGATTTATACTTCGCCCTCAACTTCATTTTTGGATAACTTTACATGCAATAAACAACTGTAATGTGCATGACTGACCTCTAAATACTGGATTACATTACTTATGATACCATGGAGAGTAATGCAGCATAGTATAGATGTAGACGTCTTTTACACGTATAAATGTATACTTCATTTCAACGTCTACATATAGACCGGATCTAGACAATCGATTTTAATTCCCAATTCAAGAGTTGATTATTTAAAATGATTACTGAACTTTGCAGAACTGATCTCAATCTATGGGACTACTATCATACTCCGGAGCGTGACCAGTGTTTTCACAATATCCGGTCAAAACCCATATACGGCAAAAAAAACAAAAAAAAACCAACTTAGGATCTTAAAGCCTGGGTCCTGCTGAGTACTCGACAATAAAGTTGGCCGCTGAAATTTAATTTAATTATTAGATTTCATGTGTTTTATCCATCTCGGTAACGCCAGCTGCCGCCTTGACAATAATCCAGCCACCTTATTGGTGGAGCACGCTCAAGTGACCCACCATGCCACCACTTCGGGTAGATTCTAATTCCACCAAGAGCAAAGTAGTCCATGATAAAAGTTATCGGCATAGCCACAATACTACGAGATGAGCGACAAAAAAGTATGTGGTAGCTCTGCAAGAGCCCAGCTTTACACCCGTATGGAGATCGTACCATAATCGGACCATAACATGAAAACGGCTTCAAATCGTGGACCGCACAACATCTGGCTGAAGCATTGCACTTTGTCCACACTCGACCTCATGACCGTCGGACTACACCAGAAGTTCCAGTCGTTCCAGAGTTCGAGAGTTATACTTTCTGCTGAAAAGAGGTGGGTGCTGAAGGAGATATTATAGAAAATGTTTATTTTTACAAACTTTGGTCCTCCCACCGTCGTGCATCATGATGCGTGACGGTGAAATGCATTCACGGCAAATGTTAAATTCGAGTTCGCATGTAGCCTGGTTGCTACTACGAGGGCTAGCTTGTGGCTAATTTAGCCAGCGTGGGCCCAACAGCATCAAATAGTCCATGCTAACGTGTATTGTCGTGAAAGTAAAGAAGGGTCTGCTCTCTCTGTTGGAGCCAAGGTTAAAAGCTGCTAGTTAGGCTATCCATTTAAATTAGAAAATGAAGTCTATTTTGATGCCAGTACTGTTGTTTTTGTTTATCCAGTGTTATTTTTTTATATAGTTAAATTTGTGTTTAACTGTAATTGTCATAGATGGTTTTTTTCACTATGTGTGGTAGAAATGGGACGCATTAGTTGAATTATTCCAATATTATTTTGTTAATGCATTAGCAGTGCTATAGGAAATGCTAATAGTAAAAATCTGAAAGTATTGGTATTAATTTCTTAGATGAATTTACCAGTGATGAGGATGTGTCACAGGAGGACAAACAAGAGGAGGCTGGGGCAAGTCAATCTGGCCAACCACCAAATTAGACGTCTTTTGAAGCACAGCATTTGGAGGACACGCTAGAGGGTATGGCAAGTCAATCTGGCCAGTTAACAGACGACACTTTAGGAAGTTCTTCTTTCGATACAACCTTGGAAGAAGAGCCTGATAATCAAGAGGACTACGGTTATAGTGAATATCCAGACACAAGTGATGAAGAAACCAAGCTTGTTGACTTGGAATCCCAAACCGAAGATGAACTGTCAAGCCTAAGAGAGGATGTGGCAGCTTGGGCTGTAGAAACAAAGTAGACTCACAGTAGTGTTAACAAGATAATAATAATAATAATAATACATTTTATTTGTAAAGCGCTTTTCAAAGACACAAAGACGCTGTACAGAGTAAGCAGTAAAAACACACATCAATAAGTAAGAAAATTTACGGCAATATAATAAAAACATGTAATCAGGTAAAATCAAATAACAATAAAACACACATAAATGAGTAATAAAATTTACGACAATGTCAATAAAAACATGTAGAATCAGGTAAAATCTAATGGGGGGGGGGGGTTAGGAGGGATGAAAGGCAGTGCGGAAGAGGTGGGTTTTGAGAAGGGTTTTGAGTCTGGTGAGGTCAGTGCAGTTTTTGAGTTCAAGTGGGAGTGAGTTCCAGAGGGTGGGGGCGGCGACTGAGAAGGCTCTGTCCCCCCAGGTTCGGTGCTTGGTCAGGGGAACTGTGAGGAGGTTGGCATTGGCGGAGCGGAGGGTGCGGGAGGGGATGTAGGGGTGGAGAAGATCCTGTAGGTAGGGGGGGGCGAGGTTGTGGAGTGCTTTGTGGGTGAGGAGGAGGATTTTGTATTGAATGCGATGGGGTATGGGGAGCCAGTGAAGGTTTTGGAGGACGGGGGTGATGTGTTGATGGGAGCGTGTGTGGGTGAGGAGGCGGGCGGCTGAGTTCTGGATAAGCTGAAGTTTGTTGAGGAGAGTGGAGGTGGTGCCATAAAAGAGACTGTTGCAGTAATCTAGACGAGATGAAATGAATGCATGTATAAGGGTTTCAGCTGCAGGGTAGGAGAGGGAGGGGCGGAGGCGGGCAATGTTTTTGAGGTGGAAATAGGCTGTTTTAGTGATTTGCTTAATGTGTTGGGTGAAGGAGAGGTTGCTGTCGAAGAGAATGCCAAGGTTGCGACAGTGGGAGGAGGGGGAGAGGATGGAGTTGTTGATGGAGAGATGAAAGTTTGTGACTGTGGGGGTGAGGGAGTTTGGGCCAATGATGATGAGATCTGTTTTGTCATAATTGAGTTTAAGAAGATTGCTGTCCATCCAGTGTTTGATGTCAGAGAGGCAGTTTGAGAGGGAGCGTTGGGTCTGGGGGGTGATGGAGTTGGAGGAGATATATAATTGAATGTCATCAGCATAGCAGTGGAAGTGGAGGTTGTGTTGATGGAGGATGTGGCCAAGAGGGAGGAGGTAGATGATGAAGAGGAGGGGACCAAGCACCGAACCCTGGGGGACACCTTGGGACACGGGGGCGGTTGTGGAGGAGCAGTTGTTAATATGGATGAAGTGATTCCGGTCTGTGAGGTAAGAGTGGATCCAGTTAAGAGCGGTGTCTGTGATATTGAGGAGGGAGTGTAGGCGGGACAGAAGGATGGCATGGTCGATGGTGTCGAAAGCTGCGGAGAGGTCGAGGAGGATGAGGATGGAGAGTTGGCCAGAGTCAGCGGAGATGAGGAGGTCATTTGTCACTTTTATGAGGGCAGTTTCAGTGCTGTGGTGGGTGCGGAATCCTGATTGGAACTGTTCATATAGGTTGTTACTGTTGAGGTGGGTTTTGATTTGTGATGCGATGACACGTTCGAGGATTTTTGACAGGAAAGGGAGGTTTGAGATGGGCCGGAAGTTACTAATGTCATGTGCTGGGTGAGATTGAGGGTGTCGAGGAGATCCAGGAAATCAGAAGCTTGTTTGCAGGTGGGGTTGTCAATGTGAAAGTTGAAGTCTCCAAGCAGCAGGACAGAGGATGAGATGGTGTTTAGGTGGGTGACAAATTCAGAGAAATCCGAGAGGAATGATGGGTGGGGCTTTGGGGGACGGTAGATAGTAACAATGACCAGAGGGGTGGGGCCAGGGAGTTTGACAGAGATATTTTCAAATGAGTGGAGGGACAGGGTGGGGGCGGGGGTGGTCTTGAGGGTTTGTTTGTAAATAACTGCGACGCCTCCGCCTCGTCCAGTGAGGCGGGGTTGGTGCAGATAGGAGTAACCGGGGGGGGTGGCTTGGTTGAGTGGAAAGAGGTCGAGATGGTTGTGCCAGGTTTCAGTTAGATAGAGGAAGTCCAGGTTATTGTCTGTTATGAAGTCAGCTAGGATGTGACCTTTGTTATTGAGGGAGCGGGTGTTTTGAAGGGCCATCTTCAGGGGAGGGGGCTGTGGGGTGGGCAGTGAGGCAGGGGGAAGGTAGCGGAGATTTGATAGATTTCTTGTCCTTCTTTTTGGATGCATGGGATTTGAACGGGAGGTTCCAGTAGTTGTAATTGTTTTAATTGTTTGCAATGGTTTGCAAGGAGAGTCTATGGTTGAAGGGTGTAGTAGCTGTTTGGACCAGGAGGGGGAGCTTGATGTGGTGGGGGCAATGGGGATGGTGCGCAGTACCAGTTGGGGCCTGCTGGGGGAGCCGGTGGTGAGGGTGGTGAGGGCGAGGGTTCCGGAGGGGGCCTCAGGGGGGCGCTGTTTCCAGGTGGGGTAGTGGGAGAGAATGAGAGGGAGTATGTAAACAATGATAGTCAGTTGGTGTGTATGTGGTGTTGGATATTAGCGGCAAGTGTCTGATGGCCCAGTTTGTTTGGGTGAAGTCCGTCATTAGAAAAGAATGGGGGTCGGTTCCAGAACAGGTTAAAATTGTCTATGAAGTGGGTGGAGAGGGTGCTGCAGAGGGCTCGAAGCCAGGAGTTTAGGCTGAGGAGGCGGCTAAAACGATCGATGCTGCGTGTTAGTGTTGGAAGAGGGCCACTTATAAAAACAGTTTTGCCACTGCGCTCAAGGCTATCTAAAAGAGTCCTGAAGTCTTTTTTTGTCTGTTCAGACTGTTGGTGAGCCGTGTCATTTGTGCCAACGTGGACAATGATGCGGTGAATAGAGGCAGGAAGTGATTGGAGAAGACCGGGGAGTTTAGCTGTGATGTTGGCGATCCTCCGCAAACATGGCCACAATTTGCCCAAAGATGTCCGCACACTATTGTAGACTCCATGTTTTGTGGACAGTAAAAAGAAATGTGATGGGGACTACATTTACTATGGATTAGAGTCAGGCATCCGCAAGTACCTTGAGCAGTGCCAAACTTTCATGTTACGACCCGGCCTAGGGGTATGCCGGACGCAACATAAAGCGCTCCTTCCTTTGCCCCAACTCCCCAATAAAAACCAACAATCAACCAGAGTTAGCAGTCTTGAATTAATTTATTGTGTAACATAAATGGTAGTCAACTTCAGGGTGGGCACAGGCCAAAACAACAAACAAAACCTCTTATTTAAAACTACCTTACCTCACAAACAAAAGTGTAGTAAATAAAATACAGGGGGTCTTACCTGCCTCCCTAACCCAAAACACGAGAAAAAATCTGTGAAAGCAAATAGCTGCCCACCCCTACCTACCAGACTGCTCTTCAACAACTTAGACTATTTGTCATGAAGACAAATCAAAATTCACAAAGTTTTCCACGATTTTAACACAAAAGAGCCTCCACGGAACACAGGTCTGGCTGGGAGTTGAGACAAAGGAAATGAGAGAGAGAGCTCCTCCAGCAACCACCCTTTTAACAGCTTCCCTCCTCAGCTGCTGTCCAATCAGGCCAGAGTCCTCTCCTGAAAAATAAAACACACACAGGAACAGCACCTACCACAGGTAGGGAGGGTTACCCACAAACAAAATGTGCTGCTGAAAAAAAGAAACAGGAAACATATGACCCCAGGTCATAACATTGGACATTAATATTGATGGTGTTCCTCTGTTCAAATCGAGTCAGATGCAGTTTTGGCCAATTTTGGCCAAATTTGACAAGTCTGAGCCTTTCATTGTGTCTCTCTTTTGTGGCAATGGAAAACCTGAACTGGTAGAAGATTATCTACAGGATTTTGTTCAGGAGTTGGTGGACCTTCAAGAATAGGGCATTGTTCATGAAGGGATCCAGCTTGAGTTCAAGATTAATGCCTTCATATGCAACTCTCCTGCAAGGGCTTTTGTTAAGTGCATCAAAGGTCACAACGCGTATCAGGCATGTGAACGCTGTGAAGCTTTGGCCAGCCATGTTGACGGCAAGATGGTGTACACAGACCATGCACCTTGTGAAAAAAGAACTGATGAAAGGTTTAAAACAGTTCGATACACTTGCCACCAAAAAAAAAAAACTACACCCCTCATTAAGACTGGAGTCGGATGTGTCAGTCAGTTTGTCTTGGACTACATGCATGTGGTTTGCCTAGGGGCAGTAAAGAGGCTTCTGACATTTCTGATTAAAGGTCCTGTTGAGTGCAAACTGCCCAGAAGCTCAGTTGAAGAACTCTCCAGCCGATTAATGGCACTGAGAGGGAAGATGCCATCAGAATTTGCCAGGCAACCAAGGTCATTAGTGGACCTGGATCGGTGGAAAGCCACAGAATTTCGGCAGTTCCTGCTCTACACGGGCCCAGTTGTGCTGAAAGACATACTGTCAGATGACCAGTACCGTGTTTGACAGTAGGCATGTCTATCTTGCTTGACTCAGATCATGAGCACAGAGAAGCATATCTGGAGTACTCAAGGGATGTCATTAAGTACTTTGTAGAGAACTCTGCTGAGTTTTATGGCAACACCTTTTGTGTGTACAACATCCACAGCCTGCTCCACCTGTATGAATACGTAGAAAATTTCAAATGTTCCCTGAATGAAATATCAGCATTCCCCTTTGAGAACCATTTGCAGTCAATCAAGAGAATGGTTCGAAATGGCCAAAATCCAATTGCACAGGTCACTAAAAGAATTGTGGAAAAGGAGTAGGCAAAGCCAAGACAACCATTGTCCCACAGGAGGTTTTATGTCTCAGCCAAAACTCGAGACAGTTGTGTCTTCCTGGAAGATAAGATCGCGTTTGTGAGGGAGAAGAGGGCTAATGGCAAGCTGGTGGCTGATGTCGTCACACTGGGGGATGCAAGTGACCTATTTTAAAAACCATGCAAGTCGAAGATCATCAACATTACATATGTAGACAGAAGAATGGACCAAGCACATCGGCAGTTGGTGGATAAGAGAGAAGTGGTGAAGAAGGCTGTTTGCATTCCACATTCAGATGGATTTGCCATCGTTCCTCTGCTACATAGTATCAACTAATTCAGCAGTCATCTTAAAGGACTTGATAACATAGCAGAACAGATCGCATCAGCAGCAAACTGTTCATTCTCACAGTCACCAAATGCTGCTTATAAAATACTTATGGACTAAATGTTCAAGGAAAAAATTAACCTGCACAACACGCCTGTCAACAACCCCTGCAGCACAACAGACTGTTAAAGGCACATTACAGTTTGAGAAGACACATCAAAGAGCCCAGCTGCCACACACCTTCAACCACTTGCAATGCCGATACCATGCTGGCATCCCAATGGAAATAATTGTCTGTTACAACAGTATGGGCAAAAAAAGAGGTATGACATTGCTACTTTGCTGTTCTCCAAACCTTTTATTCCCTCAAAATACTAACAATTTGTGATTTTAATCATAATTCTGAACTAGAAAAGCACTCGGAGAGCGCTGACCTCTGCCAAGCAGCTCATGTCCCCCCTTATATTGTGATTCACACCAAAACTTCTTTCAGGATCAACCTTTGACACCTCATAAAACTCACTGAGATCCTTTTGTGTAATTTTTTACTAAAGACTCTGGACATTTTTATAGAGTGAAATGCAAAAATTCAAAAATTTGTAATGGGATCCTCCTGGGGCTGAGACGCACCTCTGGTGAAAATTTCAGGTCAATCCATTTGTAACTTTCTCCGTAAAGTTGCTAACAGACAAACAAACAAACCAACAAACAAACCAATGCTACCGAAAACATAACCTCCTCGGCGGAGGCAACAATCCCCTCTCAAAAAGCCTTCAATATGATTTCACAGACAAAGTATCCCGACCCACCAAGCCCGTGATAGCCATTCAACACCAATTTCAATATGTTGTAATCTAACACAGATTTTTAGAATTATGGCGTCGAGCTGCTTATTTAGAAGATGTATTGGGCTAACGTGCACCCGGCCACTTGTGTTTCTTTTCCACATTTTCAGCATTGCCATTTTGAAATGTGTTTACTATTTGTCAACTATTACATATAATGTCTCAAATCTCTTTCTGTTTGAATCTCAGTAAGTAATTGATGACCAGTGGTTAATTGTACACTTCAATTTTCAGAACATGTCACAGCGGAAGACAACCCGAGTCATTAAAAAGAAGACCTTCCCTGATTTTGTTCAAGGTCCGTGCCGCTTGTATTTTAGATTGATAACACATACTGTACACATTTTGTCTACTCATTGCTAGCTTTGTTTTTTTAGTCTAAGCACATGCCATCTGTTTCTAGGGCCCACGTATCCATCACCCCCCAAGAAATTTATGAAGGGTTCCCACACAGTGCCCTCAAATGCTAATTATAAATACATATTTATTCATCAAACAACAAACGGATTATTCATATATGTGCAATGTTACATATGAGGTGACTGGTTATATTTGTGTTGATTTTGAGTAATCCCATTTTTTCCCTTTCAGCCCCTGGTCCATCTCATCAGCCACAGCAGGCAAACGTGGGCAAATGTCAATTTTTTTTCCCCATTTCCAACGATAGCAAGCAATGAATGTATTTGTCTGTCATTGTTAAACTACACAGAATTGTTTGAATCTTGTTACAGGTCCTCAAGATGCTCCACGGAAGAGAACCCTACCATCACATATTCCACGTGAGGAATTTGCTTGTGGCAATATTTTTTAAATTGTCTTATGATTATCCTTGATAGTCCTTTTTGATATAAGTAATCATAACTGCTTTTGCACTTACAATCCGCATATTAACTCCTAAAGCTTATGCAAGTGGTCTGAAGAGCCACACCCCCACATATCTTTGAAATTATTCAAGTGGGGAATAAAGGATAGAGTTCCGAGTTTCCTTTTGTGTATATGAGAAGTAGAGCTGGCTTTTGTATATAGACCGATGTCAGGCAGTATTTAACTTTGGATCCTACCATGAGTGGAAGCCATTGTGTGTATGGCTTTTAGATAACAAGTCATGATCTTTTCATTGTTTTGTATTAGGTTTTCTGCAGAGTGGTGTAGCTTTTTTGGATTATTTTATATTTTATCTATAAATGTTGATTATTCATTTTACCATGTGCTGTCCTTACTTTGTATAAAGCCCTCTGGAATGAGAGGATCTGTTAAATGCCAGAATTGTAAAAAAAAAAAAAAAAATTCAATTTATGTAGGCAAAGAGGACTTGTTCTCCGAGGACTTGTTTGCTGATCTACCTGAGACATCAACTGAAGTTTCCAAATGTAAGACTATGGCAATTTTCAAATAGTATGAATTACAAGCATTGTTTCGTCAAAGGTGACTATTTATTTTATCCTCTGTTATTAGCTTGGCAGCCATCACCCGACAGCTCATTCACTCAGATATCCTGTGAGTTAACAATCTTCCTCTTTATTATTATTTTTTGTTATTTGTATTAATACTTCTTAATTGAATTAATGAAAACGATATACATCTAAAATAATTATGTCTTCCCCAGGCGAGTCACCAGCCTCTCCAGTTTTAAATGCACCTCTGCTAAAATCTACACCAGGTATAAATGATTTTTTTTTATTGGACAAAGTATTAACGCCTAGGTCAGGGAGAATATAAATTTTTATAATTTTTATATCTATTTCCCAGCTATGCAAGGTCACACCACATCAGCAGTCCCTGAGAGTGGCTGTTATAGAATATATGTCAGAACACAAGATATTTTTGACAAGTACAGCAAATACACAGGCACCATTGTGTACAACTAATGAATATTTTAAATTATTTATCCTCAACAGCGAATGGGTGAAGTAAAAAAATGTTTAAGTCTACGCATGCAGCCAGGACTGTAAATTTCATTTGTTTCTCTCACCGCAGTTGATCGAGCGCCAACCACCCCACAAGGACCTGGGAGGGCCCGTGGCAGACAGCACAGCCCGGTCATGACCCGTGCCCGGACCCCACAGGGTAAACATTGAAGATTATAGCAGTGATCACAATGATGACGGAAGATCAGCTAATTATATACCTTTGCTTGCCCCACCCCCGTGTACATTGTTATATAATATAGGGTATAGACATCTGAAGTTACAGATTATTACATTGTTTTTAGCCTCTACTGAATATACCACAGATGTCAAAGAGTGTGAGTGAAAAGGTTTAATTTAAATGTGCCTTCTCTCTTCTCTAACTACTTCATCCTTCTCCAGCCCCAACCACCCCAGTAGGAACTGGGAGGGCCAAGACCTGGGTCCGGACCCCACCAGGTAACAAATATTTGATAAAATGATGACTGGAATTAAGACATTTAATCACCTTTGCTGTCCCTCTCCTGTGTACATTGTAATTGATTAGACATCTGGATCTGAAAGATGTAAGTTTAATGTCAATGGCCTGTACAGAATATAACACAAATGTCAATTTGACAACAAGTGGAAATTTTACAATATGCTGGCTGGTACTCCACGTGGTAACATTTTATTGACAAAAGCAGTGGTGGTTGTATCAACAAGACATTGGATTCCCTCTTCTTTTTACAGGTGTTGCCAGTCAGCTATCTCAAGTAGCCAGACAAATTATAACCCAGTGTTCAAACGGTAAATTTTGAGCACAAAGTAGAGATAATTTGAGATGGCATTGCACACATTTTGATTAGATTTTTAATTTGATCGTTTTCCACCCCAAAACAGTCAACCATGGCAACTCCAGAGCTGCGACAACCAAAGGTAGACTTTTTTTTCCTCCAACTAGGATGACATTGCTGTTTAAGTAATTATGATATGCAATTAAATTTGGTTTGACCCCAACAGGTGATCAGCCTGGTAGGGCAGCAACACAGCAAGGTAAGATGTGTTGTAAAATCACAATAGAACTGTTGCGTTTGGAAGTGAGATGAGTATGCTCCTTAACTCCATCTGCCAACAGAGACTCCGAGCCCTCAGGCTGGACCCTCAGTGAGCCGTACCTCACAAGGTACTAACTGTCTATAGTGTTACTATTAAATAGTGATGTTGCCCATATGACCTGTAATTCCCTTTTCTTTCACCCTCAGCTAAGCGGACAAAAAGTCCAAGGATTCAAGGTAAGGATTTATCAGGTTTAGCAGTGTTTTTTAAGTAGGGTGGGGGGCTATTTTAAAATAGTGCAACAGCATATGATTTTGTGTTTAACAGCCAAAGTTAAGCACCACACTCATCATCCATTTATTGTCTCGTTCTCAGATTTTGCAGCGAGGAAGAGGGTTTATTCGTACCCAATGCCTGAGAAAAGTAAGAGTGGCATAACTAAAGTACAAAATTTCATGTAATGTATTGTAATTATTGAATTGAATGTTAATAAATCATATCTTTTCACTAAGAGTTCCAGCGGGTGGTCGTGGAAACGCTTATGGAAATCCGCAATGAATTAAAATCCCTCAACCAGCAGGGGGACATTGAAGATCAGGGTGAGCAGATAGGTCAGTTGCCATTAAGGACTTTGGAGGAGGCTCAGCGCATGTCAGTGGAAATTGATAGGCACCCCAACATGAAACATTCACTGGTAAGTCAAATAGAGATGCTAAAAATCATAAAAATTTATACATTAGACACTCTTGATAATTTGATTACATCATACAGATAAAACAACTGTTACACCTAGGGGGGGAAGGACATTAAGACCTGCACATGCAGGATCCTGGACAATACCTCGTCACTTTTGTTGGGCAGGGAGTTGATGTTTCCCATAATGGCTGATGGAAGAAAAGGCTTTTATCTCCATTTACTAGCCTTCAACTTTGCCTTCACCTTTGCACCAGCAAAACAACCACAATAACGACTCCTGATGTCCCTTGGAACCGGATGCCATCGTCATGACCCTCTCCATCTCTCCTGAACAAACTCCTCTCCCAGCAGAAACATCATTCAGCAGTTGACAAAACATGAAAAAATAGAGCAAAGATTGCTGAAAATTAAGAGAGACCAGACTTTGCTGCTCCTCGGTCAAGCACAAGTACTGGAAGCTCAATGGTATGGGAACAGGTATAAATATTTAAAAATACCATTCAGATGTATGGATTTGATGACATATTTTCGGAGATATAAAACAAGACAAAACTGACATGCAGTTTAAGTTATTCATGAGATGTTTCACTTCTAAGAGTCTGCATGATCTACAGTAAATATATTCCTGACAGCTACAGGAGATCCCAATAAATGTGAAGGTCACAAGAATGAAAGTTCTCACCCTGAAACAACGTGGCCTTGGCTTGTTTGCCATGAAGGTCTTTTTAAAGGGAAAAAAAAAAAAGATATCACTTTGTGCACATGCTGCACAGTTATGACCCTCATCCGATGTCCAGGCCAATTTGACCTGCGCACAGCCAAATCCATACACAGACTCACAAACACATGCATGCACAAAGACTCCAACACCACATGCAAACCCCCCCACACACATTTAATGTCACAACCAAGGCTTCAAGAAGCTATCGGCTCCTTTTCTTGTGCTTTTCACCCTTTGTCATATAAAAACCTGCACCAAAACAAACATACTCCACATCCCAACACTACACCTCTGCGCCTGCACTTTGAGTGAGGGACAAAACAAATAAATAATGATCCCAATATAAAGGTCATTTCATCTACAATCATCACTAGCTATTTCAGAAAAATAAGTACACAAGTGAGAAGGCTTTGGAGGCAGTAATACGGAGACTGAAGTGAAGGAGTGGGATGTCTTAGAATATGTATGGATTGGTCTGTGTGCAGGTCAAATTGGCCTGGACATCGAACAAAGGACATAACTGTGCAGCATGTAAACTCAGTGATCCTTTATTTTTCCTCTAAAAAGACCTTCACAGAAAACAGACAAGGCCATGGAGTTTCAGGGTGAGAACATCCAATCTTGTGACCCCAGTCTTCAAAAAATCGAAAACAGAATCAGTGTTTTTTATTTATTTATTTTTTTGTTCAATCTTCACACCAATTATTTTCTCATAAAAGACTGAGGCTTTGACTACAACAGGGATTTAACAAGGACACTACTGCACTGTGAAAGAGCAACAAGTCAAAAGGCAGAACTGGGCAGACACCTAGAAGGAGACCAAATAAAGCCAAGCTGAGTAAATGAGTGAGGTGCAGGCAGATTTTTAGCTATCTAGGTTAAAGTGTGTAAAAGTTGCAGTGAAACCTGCCTCCCTCAGCCTACAGGAGATCTGTCTGAGAGAGGAGTAAGTGCTGGGAGGAGGTGTGTGGGGGATTAGTGACAGATGGAGGGTGGGAAAAAGGAACAGAGAGGGAGAGAAATTGGAGGAAACAGAGACATTGCGCTATAGAGAGAGAGAGAGAGAGCAGAGGAGATGTGGTGAAGCAGAAGGATGTGTGATGGATGGAGGGATGACAGGTGTAATGAAAGGGGGAACCAGCGATGAAGAGAGGCAGATGGATCATCATGACATTACTCTGGAGTGTGTGGGTACTTAAGTACGTGCATATCCATTTTCCTCCTACCCTCCAGCTCTGGGTGTGTGCGAACAGATGATTGTATAATCAGAGTTTATTATGGAGATTATTTATTTAGAGTCTCACCATTCACACAGGTCTGCATTAACTTTTAATGAGGGAGCTAATCAACCTGTGTTGGCAGGAAAGAACACAAACTTGGACTTAAATGCTCATACATATGCAGACACATGGTTTGTTACACCCAACATATTTCTTCCTCTCTTCTCTTAGGTCTGTTCCCTTGTTTTGTTTGCTCCAGGATCATATCTTTGTGAATCGCACCTCCACAGAGCTGATTGCAATTTCGAAATTCTTCTGTCCATTCATATTGAGTTACCCATTAGTCACAGTTGAGGGATGGATGGATGAGTTTTTAATTTATATTTTTCAGCACCACATGTTCATACATGTTCTATAAATCATACTGCAATCAAAGTGACAAGGAGAGACGCTGAATAGAAATTGTGTCCAAAATGAATGTACTAGATAACTAAGGAACTAGTATGCAACATTGAGCTTGATAACCGTCCTGCTGCTCTTTCTGATGTTTACTTTAAAGTCTCACAAAGTGATTTTATGAGAGATTTTCACTTTAGAGGGTCTAAAGTTTTTGTTGCATGGAGTCCCTATAAGTGCATCCACATGAACAGGGCAATGTTGACAGCTTTAAAACTGTGGCAAACATGAACAAGTCCACCATCAGCAAATAATCAAACCATAAAATCAAAGGAAACTATGATTTTCAAAAATATACTGAAATTAAAACACATACTCAAGCTTGTTATTGACACAGCTGCATTTGTAAACTCAAAGAACAGAGCAGACAAGGACAAAAAAGTGAGTCCATGCAAAAAATGATCACACCACCTCAGACAATCAAAATATCACATAATAATGAGGGCATTTCACACAAAGTATGTAATAGCTCCATTAGACCTACCAAGTCTCCAACCAGTGTCCCCTCTGCCTTGATGTAATTTCTAAATGGGTGTGATGACAAATCTTCCAAAGTTTTTCCAACAGAACTCTTGTCATGTGTTTGATCCAGTTAAGATCCTTTGTAGCTGGCATATCTTCTCCCAGTTCCGGGTATCCTTGCTTTTTTCCCCATTTCTTCTTTAGTATTCTGTATTTTCTTGTTTAGATAATTATATGGCATTTGGAGAATATTTTGTTATATGATCTCACTTGCAGGTACCTAAAGATGGTCTTTTCCTATACCAAGATCCTTCTGTAGGGCTCCAAAACTCTGAAATGCCCCTTTGTGGACAAATGAATAATAGGTAGTTAAACCTTTTGTGATCCAAATCTTAAATTGGCCATTAATTTTACTTGGTTTAAAGTCTGAATCATAGACACACTACCTCCTAATCTTAGGTGTCTCTCTTAATCTGCGAGTTTTGACTATTTCCTCCCAGGATTTCAGAAAACTGCCTGTTATGGAGTCTCCTGTTCTCCTTGTAATTTGTTGTTGAAAAATCCCTTTTTGACACCTTTACTGTCAGACTCCGCCTCTGGGTTCAGTTATTATTCATGACATATTACCAATGAATATGAGCTGTGACCATCGACCCTGAGATGCAGAGCCCCACATTTTAATAAGGTCAGGCTGAAGCGTTCTGTTGTACACCAGTCAATTCATAAATTACATAGAGCTTATAGTATACCCTTAAAATAGGATTACTGAGGCTGGGCCACAGACTCTGACCAGGATCATGGTATCACGACTGAATAGAAAAACCTTTTGCTCCAATTTGTCATTTTATTGTAAGCAAGATTACATCCAGCTGTGACTCCCAGCTTTCTTCACTCTCTGCTGCTCGAAGTTGCTCTAACCCCCAATTTCCACCACATCCAGAACGTCTACGAAAAGGCGGTATGCGCCAATCGTGGCTGATCGTAACCATTTGACAATTTCCACCAGCTTCTTTCCATTCCGCTGCGGATCGCCGGACTCCGCAGCTGATCGCAAGAGTTCTATTCTTTCCAGACGCCAGAGCATGCTGGATAAATTCAGCACAGATTAACCCGAGCTGGAAAGGAAGTCGGCACAGACACACAATAAAACATCCGGCTTCTTTTCAAAATAAAACACTCCGTGTTTCAGGCGGATCGTATGTCACACCATGCAAATGGGCGGGGACAACAAGTGAAAGGTTTTTAGACTGCATTTCATCCCGATGACACCATGGATAAGAGGATGCTGATTTTAGAAGTCTAAAAGTAGATTTCCTCCTCTGGAAGGACACAACTTACTGCCTATATGGTGAGCCTATGTGGCTGTCTTTGTAGAGACAACTTGTTATCGCATGATTGCACGTAAATCTGCGGGTTCTTGTAAGTTCTCGCAATAACCACTGTCCGTAATCTGCCATGAATTTTGCCTCACAAATGGATCCAGTAGGAATTGGCGGATGCCGAAAGTCACTGCCATTTCAGATCTGAGCTGTTCCAAATGTGGTGGAAATTCTCTGTTGTACCCAATGATGCAGCCTGTGGCCCTGTTATTACGTACCCAGTATTTTTAAAAGCTGAGACATTAAACAATGTTTGCACCCTTTGTTTAGATGCAAACAGAGGAATTAGCCCCCCACCCCCAAAAAAAAAAAAAAAAAATTATGCTTTTTTAAAACTCTGGCCAGAATGGAGATTTTGGAAAACTATGTTTCCATGTAAACGAAGAAAAACATAGGTAAACTCAGATTTGGGTAGCGGACGACAGATTGTGCGCCAGAAACTGGGTTCAATACGAAGTTGTTTACAATTTACAGTCCATGTTTACAATATGGTGATCATGGATGCACACAAAAAAGCAGTCACATTTATGCTGGTGCAATCCCTTTATATTTGTTTGCATTTGCATGTACATCTTTTCCAAAAGAAGGAAGTGACGTTGTTGTTGCTGCTATGCAGGGTTCTGATTGGCTAACGTGGGCTTGAGCTTTTCGCTACACTGCCACCTACAGGTTTGGCATGCTCTTGGTTTAAAACTGTTTACACGGGTTAGTGTAAACAAAAACTTTTCGAAAAACATAGTGGTGTGCACACAGGTTTTTTTTGTAAACTGAGATCATGAAATGTCTGTTTATGAAAATAGCTGGGCATGTGTAAACGTAGTCTTAATATGCATGAGTTGAGCAGCAGACATCTTCAAGCTGATTAAACTTGTTAATAATAATAATAATAATAATAATAATAATAATAATAATAATAATAATAATAACAACAACAACAACAACAACAACAACAACAACAACAACAACAACAACAATAATCATAATCATAATCATAATAGAAACAGACCCTATGGACAGACATCGGGTATTATTTTTAGGTCATCTAGAGGAGGAATGTTGTCTTGATCACTGAAAAGGTAGGGCATAACTCAGAAAGAGGTATATTTAAAGTATGAAAGCAACTCTGCACAAGAGAGCGAGTCAAGTGAGCAAAAAAAGCTTATTATGGACAATCATACTTCTCAGACAAAGAACATAAAAGGCTGCTTCTGATATAAAAAATGCTTTAAAGGCATCTTTAGTATATTCTGCAGAAAAAAGCAAATAGAGGATCAGGCTTATATTTTGGATTTATGATAATACTTGCTTAAAAGTAAATTTAAGATGTGCTCATGTATGTCAAGCCATATCAATCAATTAAGCAAAGCCCTAGCCTTTTACTACACCAAGTGTATCTGTTTCCATTTTTAAATACAGCATCTTTTTCAACGCCATACCAATAAGTCACTCTCCCATCTTACCTCCACCATCTTTTTTCTCCCAGAGGCATCTCACATCAGACTCATAGTCCTACATTAAATGATCCAGTGAGGTTCATCCCATGTTTACCTCAAAGACATGTGCTTAGCTGTCGCCTTAGAGCAGCCACCAAGCCATAGCCCCCGTCTCAGCTCGACTCCTCTCCCTCCAGGAGCCGCTGTGGGGAAATGATATTCTGTCCCCTCACAGAACTCAACTGCCTGTGTGAAAATCTCATTTCTTCCAGGAACACTTCATATCCCGCTCCGAGCTGCGCTGCAAGTCTCTTGACCCTGTTCATTCTCCTGTCATGTGGG